ATTCTGGGAATGCCAGAGAGATTATCTAGATTCCAGTTTAGAGATTTTCTCTGAATTTCTAGAGAATTTCTCTAATTTTTGCAAAAATTTCTTTGGGTTCAAACCAAAAAAAATGCCCGAGATTGTGTACTTGAGAGTTCAACAAAGTGGGTTGTTGGTCGTGAAAGAGAGGTGATGGTGGTTAGGGGTGTGCACGGTGCGGTTCGAACAGTTTGAGAGTAAAATTACAAACCGAATGGCGGGTTGGCGGATTAGCATATTGACAAATTGCGATTTGGGTGATTTTTGGCAGATTGGCAGATCAAAGAATATTCTAACTAATTATCATACATTTGCATAATATATAGCACTAATTTGTATAATATTTTTAGATATATAACACAAAGTAATTTTACATAATATGTTTCATATATATAACTATTAATTTGTAAAAAAAATTATATCTTAAATCTCTCTTACACTGATTTTTATATTGATATTTCATTGGAGGTTAAAAAAATATATATATATTAACTATTGTGGAGCGGTTTGGTTGGTGAATTATAAATTTTAAAGTTTAAACCACGATTAGCAGTTAAAGCGGTGCGGCTTGATGTGAATTGGTGCGGTTTGATACAGATCGGTGCAGTTTTTATGGATTAGGCGGTATTTTGCACAACCCTAGTGGTGGCTGTGGAGGAGGCGGCTGTGGGAGGTTGGAGATGGGGCCAAAACTGTGGTTCAAGAAATGAGAGATTGACTGGTCTATGAATCATACTCTTCATCTCCATCACTTGAAGATTGTATATTCACACCGTTTCCAGAATCCATTTGCTGCCAAAAAAGTGAAATGTAAGATGATATATTAAATAAATAAATAAATAAAAGGGCCAAACCTATTAAGAGATCGTTGTAGTTCCAAAAAAAGAAGAGAATCATAGAAAGCACAAAGAAAATTCACACAGTGATCACAGCCAGAGAAAAATCATAAAACCAGAGAAAATTCACAAAATTACAAATAATGATCACAACAAGAGAAAATTGACACAATTCCCATATCCAGAGAAAATTCACACAGTCCAAAGAAAATTCAGTCTGATTTGCTCACACTATATCTATATCTGTATAAATGAACATATCTCAACCTCTCCTCCATTTCTTATCAATTCCGTCTTTTCTTTTCTTCTAGAAAATCCGTTTCCAGAATCCGTTTGCTGCCAAAAAAGTGAAATGCAAGATGATATATTAAATAAATAAATAAATAAATAAAAGGGCCAAACCTGTTAAGAGATCGTTGTAGTTCCAAAAAAAGAAGAGAATCGTAGAAAGCACAAAGAAAATTCACACAGTGATCACAGCCAGAGAAAAATCATAAAACCAGAGAAAATTCACAAAATTACAAATAATGATCACAACAAGAGAAAATTGACACAATTCCCATATCCAGAGAAAATTCACACAGTCCAAAGAAAATTCAGTCTGATTTGCTCACACTATATCTATATCTGTATAAATGAACATATCTCAACCTCTCCTCAATTTCTTATCAATTCCATCTTTTCTTTTCTTCTAGAAAATTTCCCCATAAAGATGTGTAGTTTGATTGATCTCAATATCGTCGATGACAACGACGACTCTCCTCATTCTCCTCTACCGCCGCCGCCACATCTAGAGAAAATTCACAAAATTATATATAGAGAATTTCTCTAAGTTCAAACTAGAGAAATCCAAAGAAAAATGAAATTTCTCTGATTTTGGACTAATTTTCTCTGATTTACTCACAATTTTCTCTGTATTTTGACTAAACCAGAGAAAATTATGTTTGACTCATTTAGTGAAAATTGATCAAAAAGCTAACACAAAGCATCATAACAAGAATTTACCATGCAAACAACACAATGAGAGCGAGAAACAAAAGGAGAAGAACAAACCTCTCTCTCTCTCTCTCTCTCTCTCTCTCTCTCTCTCCTTCCCAAATGGACCAACCATGGAGGCTGTCGAGTTTGATTACCGTTGTTTATTCTAATCACATTTCTTTATATATTATTACCTATTTTATGATTTTGTATTTTACAACTTTCACAGTTGTTATCATTGTTTATTTGTATTACCAACTAGTTTTCTATGCTATAGATGCAAACAGAAAGTACCATAGACTGAAAATTCACAATAATTGAACAGTTGGGGTACACACTAGCCTCAGTGAAGTTCTTGAGAAGCTCTTCGTGTCTCTTAAACTTTTTCTCAAACACTTGGACTAGTTGTGATGCGTCAACTTCACCAGAGCTGGATTTGTTCTTGAATGAAAGTGCCTAGGTGAACATGTTGTTCACATCGCTGATGTTGAAGCAAGATCCATGTTCTCCAAAGAGTTCTAGAAACTTCTTTGTAACAGCTTCAATGCGAATGGAGATGGAATCAGTCACAACAACAGTGAGAAGAGCTTTAGCAGGAGTGCTGGTGATGGCCATCGTCGCCGTCGTGCCAAACCCTAATCTCCCCTCCATGGTCCTATCAAAAAAAGAAGAGAGATGAAGGGTTTGAAGAGAGAAAGAGTGAGTGTGATACATGAAGGGACCTTACACTACAAAATATATATATATATATTGTGGACCTTTCTCACTACTAAAAATGGGATAAGGACCTTACACTAATTTTCTCATTTTAAAAATCACAAGAGATAATTCGTATTTTCAGTAAATCTCACAGGGGTCGTTGTAATTCACCCAAAAACTAGAAAATAACAAATCTATTAAAGGTTGAAAAAAAAATCAAATTAATGATAAAGTTATAAACTTTAATTGTTAAATCATAAAATTTTCTATGTGTATATAATTATTTTTGAAAAATTGACCTGGTTTGTAATTTCTCGTTACAAAAAAATAGAGGAATTTTTTTAAAGTCCCTAATATTAAGATTTTATAAGATAAAGGACATATAATATTTTCATAGCAGTTAAGGTCAGTCAACATTTCTACAGAGAAAATTCGCCTCAAAAAAATTTTGCCTGATTTAGAGAAATTTTTATTTTTCTAAAGAAATTTCTCTGATTTCACAGAGAAATTTCAAATTTTTTCTTAGTCGGGGTTGAAATTTCTTTGAGTCTGGTGAAATTTTTCTAAATCAGGTAAAATTTCTCTGAGTCGAATTTTTTTTGTGAAAATGTTGAAAGACCTTAGCTAATAAAAAAATATATCTTTGGCCTCTCTTACTACACAAAGTTGGAGAATGATGTTTCACTAATTTTTTCAAAAATAATAATATATTTGGAATAAAAAAAATTAGTTTTATGAAAAATATAAATAACTGGTGTATGATAGTGTATATGATTAGCTTTTTTAATAACTTTTAAATTTTTGAATTTCTTAATAGTTTTTTAATTTTTTTGCTTTTCGGCTAAAAAATCAACTTCCCAAATGAGGCCTAAATAATAGTAGTGCTACTATAAACGAAAAGTTTTATTTACTTTTCAAATTGAATGATGTGGCAATCTGTTAGAATATTTAAGGCAACTCTTTCTCTTATATATTCTTTCATCATCAGCTAATTATCTACTTTACACATCACTTGGTCTAAAAAACAGGTATAGAATTTTATATCATTTTCAAATGTAAAATGGTTTATTTAAAGGGACATTTAGCAATGAATCCCATCTCACAAATAAGTATTCTAATTAGTCCTAAGTTTTTTCTGTTAATCTGTTAAGTCTTATTAGGGGAGAGTTTCTTTCCGTGTGGTCCTATTTTTTATTTTGATAATGTTTTGGTGGACAGTTATACCCTTCATTAATGTGATGGGTATGTGATACTTTAATGTGGCAAATATTAATGTGACACTACCAAAAAAAAAAAAATTAAAATCTTCTTATTGTACTTTTCCTAAATGTGACAACGTGACGGATATGATGTGACACTCAAAAACTTTTACTCCAAAAAAAAATAAAAATTTCTTAGTGTACTTTTTCTAAATGTGACAACATGACGGGTATAATGTAACACTTTAAAAAAAATAAAAGCTCCTTAGTATACGTTTGTCAAACGTAACAAGTGATGTGACATGCTAAAAAAAATTAAAAACTCCTTAATATATTTTTTCCAAATATGACATGTGATACTCCAACGTGGCAGATATAATGTAACACTCTAAAAAAAATTAAAAACTCATTAATGTACTTTTTCCAAATGTGACACTCTAAGAGTATGATGTGACACTAAAGAACCATTTAGAATACTTTTTTTAAATGTAACACTTCAATGTGACGAGCAAATAAATCATTACACAATCAAAAGGACTAAATAGATCACAAGAAAAAAATATGAAACTATATAGATTACAATTCCAACATATGATACTTATTAGTCAATCTCCTTAATTTGAAAGGGAATAGACTATTTTAAATTGCACGTCAACCATTCAATCATTTTAATAAGAATAACTCGATTATTTTACCAATTAATTTTAATAATATTTCTAAAATTATGTTCTTACATTGGCATAATGTCAAACAATAAAAATATGAGCAAATTACCAACACCCCTCAAGATTTGACTAGAATACGGATTCTTCTGAGATTTGAAAAATTACATCTCACCCTCTAAGATTTATATTTACATAACAAATTAATCTCAGATGTTTATATTTGTATAACAAATTGTCCTCTCCTTTATTATGCAAATATAAACCTCAGGGGGTAATTTATAATTTTTCAAATTTCAAGGGAAAATCTATATTTTAGTCAAATCTCAATAACAATTTGTAATTTGCCCTAAAAATAAAACTAATGCAATTAAAACTATAATCGATAAATTGGCACAATAATCAAATTGCATACACGTCAGATATCATTCATTCAAAATTATAGAGATCTATATATATATATATATATATGAAAATATTATGTAAGTTTATTTTTTAGAATTAAAAATATATAAATGAGATAATTAATTAATAGTTAAAGAAATTATAAAAAAATATATCTTAAATATTTTAATAAATTATCACATCAATTTGAAAAGTCAATTTAATTATTAAGCCTCAGTAGCATTATCCATATATTTATTACCACAACAGTGATCAAAGTTGCCTAGAAAAAATGCAAGCTCTATTTAGCGTAAGAAGCACCAACTGTATTCTAAGTTCCATCTGAATCACAGAGAGGTAGTACTGAAATGGATCGACCAGTAGAAACACTCGCACCACATGTACTCATCTTCCCCTTCCCAGTACAAGGCCATGTAAACTCCATGCTCAAGCTCGCCGAGCTTCTCTGCCTCGCCGACTTCCACGTCACCTTCCTCGTCCCCGATGACACCCACGACAGCCTCCTCCGTCACACCGACGTTCACAAGCGTTTCGAGCACTATGCCCGATTCCGGTTTCAAACCATTTCCGATGGCATCCCTGCGGACAGAGCACGATCCGGTACCGATTTCCTCTCAGACTTGCTAAATTCTTTGAGAAACGTAATGAAACCTCTTTTTAAAGAGTTGATTCGCTCTAATCGACTGAGCTGTGAGTCAAATCGGCCAATAACGTGCATAATAACAGATGGGGTAATGAGTTTTGCCATTGATCTTGCTGAAGAGATGGGTATTCCCATCATTTACTTCCGAACAATCAGCGCTTGTTCTTTCTGGGCTTATTTTTGCATCCCTGAACTCATTGAAGCCGGCGAGCTTCCCTTTAAAGGTGTGTTTGCCTTTTGACTAAACAAACAAATAAAATTTTTGTTCTGTGTTATTTTTCTTAAATTTTTTAGTCCTGATATATGTAGGAAACGATTTGGATGTACCAATACAAAGCATACCAGGCATGGAAGGCTTTCTCAGGCGGCGTGACCTTCCTAGTATTTGCCGTGTTGGTGATTTGAGCAATCCAGATTTACAATTGATATCGTCTGAAACCAGGCAAACAACACGACCCCGAGGACTCGTACTCAACACGTTTGAAGATCTAGAAGGACCCATACTCTCTCACATACGTACTCAGATGCCGAATGTCTACACCATTGGACCACTCCACGCGCACTACAAAACAAGGCTGGCAGCGGCAGCATCTTCAACGACGACGACGGGGACCTCATCGAATAGTCTTTTGGAAGAAGACAGGAGCTGTTTGACGTGGCTCGACGAGCAACCAACGCAATCTGTCATTTACGTAAGCTTTGGAAGTCTTGCGATCATTACAAAGCCCCAGTTGATGGAGTTCTGGCATGGTCTGGTAAATAGTGGAAAACGATTCTTGTGGATTATACGGCCTGACTTGGTCATTGGCGGAGATGGGGAGGGTCATATCGAGGCGGAGTTGTCAGAAGCGACCAAGGAAAGGGGGTACATGGTGGGGTGGGCCCCACAGGAAGAGGTCCTGGACCACCGGGCCATTGGTGGGTTTGTAACTCACAGTGGGTGGAACTCGACTTTGGAGAGTATAGTGGCTGGAGTGCCAATGATATGTTGGCCTTACTTTCTGGACCAGCAGACTAATAGTAGATTTGTTGGGGAGGTGTGGAAACTTGGCTTGGACATCAAAGATATTTGTGATAGGAGCAAGGATCCTCTAGAGTGATTTTTCTCTAAAGTTTCCTAGAGTGTTACATTGTGTGGTTAAGATTTACTGGCAAGTCACATCAATTTTTCTGATGTGATTTGGAGAGTATAGTGGCTGGAGTGCCAATGATATGTTGGCCTTACTTTCTGGACCAGCAGACTAAATAGTAGATTTGTTGGGGAGGTGTGGAAACTTGGCTTGGACATCAAAGATATTTGTGATAGAGTCATTGTTGCGAAGATGATCAAAGATCTGATGGAGGTGAGAAGGGATGAGCTTATGAGGTCTGTTGATCGTATAGCTAACATGGCGAGACAATCTATACGTGAAGGTGGATCGTCATATTGTAATTTAGACCGTTTGATTGAGGATATAAGATCGTTGAGCCTGGGTGCATAAAATCAGCTTGCACAGCATTATTTACTTGTTGGACAAATTATTTTGAAAAAATCAAAAGGCAAAAATTTGACTTCATGATTTATCAGATATTACGTAGCTTTTTGTGACTTTGTTGATTAAAGCAAATATTGAGGTTTACCTTTTAGAGATGGTCTAAAATAAGGTTGTGTATTTGAAGTTGCATGTCATAAAATAAAATAAAATAAAATAAATAAAGTTATTATAATAAAAATTTGTTGTTATTAATGCTTATTGTGTTCTGGTAACATCCACATAAATCAATTCATCTGTCCCACAATACAACTATGATTGGCCTTAGTTTGAATCCCTACTTGTCTGTTTGTGAGCTGAACGTCATTGTTGCTTAGTGGAGAGAATAAGGTCAAGTTTGGCTAATCTAAAAAAGTGTATTTATTTTATCTTTTTATTTTTTTGAGTCATATCAATCAACATCCTCTCTTTACTTTTTCTACACATAATACAAAAAAAATTAAAAAATACACTTATTTAACCTTTCCAAACTTAGCCTAAGAGCTCCACACCGAGACAAAGTTGATGATTATAAATTTGCAGATCCACATCGGAGAACCATTTGGCTCCAAATTAATGTATCAGGAAAACAAAAAAAAAAAAAACAAAAATACCATCATAGAGAATTATTCCCGGATCTTTTTTACTGATGTGCAAGTGTAATAAAAAAATATAAATATTAAATTAGCTTTTGGTACTTCATTAACATAATTTCTTACATAATAAAAGAAGGTAAAACATGAGATTATATGTACTTTTTTTCGTTTCAAAATTTTAGCTTTTTATTTTATTTTTTATTATCTCAAAATATTAGTTCTTTTTCAAAAATTAAGTATAAAAATAATATAAATTTTTTATTTTACCCTTATTTTAAATTCATTAACAATATAAAAGTATAATTATGACATTGATATTTCTCAAAAATTGTACTATCAAAGAATAATTTTAGAAAATTAATTTTTTTAAATGTAATAATTGTGCTACCAAAAAAAATTAGATTATCTAAAAGGGACCATTATTTTGAGACGGAAAAAGTAATATTGTTCATATATATGACAAAACTATGACTAAGCTCAATACCAAAGAGACACAGCTGAGAAAAGGTTCACTCAAAAAAAAAAAAAACAACAATGATTCATCCCCTTTTCTCCCCACCTCCTTTGACCCCCTCTCTCTCTCATTTGTTACTTTTTCTTTTTCTTTTTCTTTTTCTTTTTTTTCCTGCTCCTCCAATCACCACCCGCCACGTGGCAAAGGGGGGTGAGGGGGTGACCCCCAAAAGGGGGTCCCAAGCATTATTCAAAAAAAAAATGTTACCAAAGAATTTCTAACGTACAACTTTTTTAAATATATATATATAAATTATAACGACGGGTTTTTATTTTTACAATGATAGAAGTTTAAGAAAAAGCATATTTGTTGTCTAAGGTTAAAATTGTACATATCATGTACACTTTTTATTGTTGAAAAAAAATAAAAATAAAAAATAAGTACAAAAGTCAAACCAACTCTACAATAGGCCTTACGAGATGAAAACGAAAGAGAAACAGTCCACATAAATTGGACTAACCTTCATACCTAGAATTGCTTAATTGTATAATCTTTGGTTTTAGATGTAAGGGAAGGTTGTCAATTCTTTTAATACCCCAATTTTTTTTTTCAAAAAAATAAATAAATAAATAAATAGGATCTACCTCATCTAATGACTCATCAAGATAATAAATTATGGGTATGTTTGATTGGAAGGATTAAAGTATGGGATTAGGATTATTAATCCGTGGGCCCAACCATCCTATGTTTGTTTTGACATTTGGTTTAGGACTATTAATCCAATGGATAATTAATCCAACAAATTTGTAGGATAATTAATAATGGGGTAAGGGTGGGATAGTTAATACCACACTAATTTGATAGGATTATTAATACCTCACTATTAGTATTGTGAATCAAACATGGCCTATGTGAATGAATGGGATTTACGATATATTAAGATTCATGATTTTTCAATTAAAATAAGATATTTCGTTGATTTTCATCTGTAGTAAGTTAATGAAGATTAATTAATTTGTCTCTTAGTGGAGAGCACTCTTAAATTATATCTTAACCAATGCCACTCACATGTTGATGTGTTGTTAAGATAAGTTTTTTATTTTTTAGTATAAAATTTTAAAATGTTATAATTTTCGTTGTCATCATCAATTTTTGACCCCAAAAAACAAAGAGAGAAAGAAAATTATAGTTTTGAAATTTGTTGGTCGAAATCCATCAAAGAAGATAAATATTAGATGTGAAATTATGTATAAAAAATAAAATTTTCATTTTAAGAATTTCATTTTTTGTATTTGGAAAATCGTGAAATTTTAGTCTTTAAACTGTAAAGAAACACAATTCTAAGGGATTGGCTTAATGGGTGCAACATGCGGACTAGAAGTGTGTTCCCTCCCGATCTCAAGTTCAAGTGCTCCCTTTAGATCTCAGATTCAACTCGCATTATATGCTATCAACTCCTTAGGGTCTCACTCGTGAATTCTGTTTGAGATTTGCTTGATTCACATGGAGGGGGCGCTTTGCATAGCTTTTGAAATTAGTCGAGGTACACGTAAAATGGCCCGAACCCGATCATGAAAAATAAATAAATAAATAGTTGTAAAGAAACACAAAATTTCATGTTTTCTACACAAAAATTGCAAAACTTTATGAAAACTACAAATTTATCAATTAGTAAAAAACAAAATTTCTCAATTTATGCGTTGAACAAAATGCAAACTTTTGCAGTTTTGCAGTAATTATTTATATTTCACAATTAGATAATTCTATTTACATACTACTAAATCTCTCAATTTATACCATCTTTTTTTTTATTTGTTCAGCTCATACCATACCTAAATTGAAAAATCTAATTTTATCTCACCACACACCCTTATTTTTTAAATAATATCAAATTACCCTCTTGTTCAACATACCCAAACCCTAACCATAATAACTGCCACTGCTGGCCCTCAACGCCGCCACCCCTCCCTTGCCCTTCGCCTTTGGTCACCGTCCTTCCACAGCTTCCCTTCACTCTTGCCACCTCCATCAACCACCACATCCACTGCCAACCAAAACGCAATCACCCTAACCCCAATACCAATAATGTGGCAATCTATTAAGAGCATCCAGATTAGCCTCAATAGATTTTGAGTCAAATTATAACTAAAAAGCTATTTTTGTATTTTAGTTAATATTTTTTTTTTGTATATACACATTAAATCAAACTCTCTATTCTAAAATTTAATTTTATAAAATATTCATTTTTATGATCTGTTAGATTATGCAAACAACCTGCGCCAATAGCTTCTAGACGCTTCTAGGAGAAGTTTTTCAAAAATAAATAAATAAATAAAAGATGGTGTAGTAGCCGGTCATCCGACCAGATGACCAGTAAGATATCCGATAAACATTGTATTTCATATTCTTAAAATATATATATATATATATATATATATCAGAGCCAAGTTGGTTGATGATAGTTAACTGTTTAGTTATTTTTGTTTAATTCTTCTCATTTCTTTCTCTGTAATTTAATTCAAGCCTCCTTTATTCTTTCGAATTTCTCATTGTTTTCCACTCTGCTTGTAGTCACCCAACTTTCATCCCACATCTTGTGTAAGTCATCAAGATAGGCAGTTAACAAATATAGGGGTTCCTAGAGAGAGTATGAGCGAACATGTAACGCCTTCAAAATAAAAACAATAAACCCATCAGATAAGACATGCATTTACATTTAAACTAACCGCATCCCTTTCATTCATTAGAATTCCAAGACATAAGTATTACATGTTAATCTCATAACAAAATGCCCTACGGGCTTACAGCTTTCCAAGTTAACACTTGGTTACAACAAAGAGTTCTAACTACACTTAGTATGTGAAAATATGATAGATTATCCATGAATTTTGAATTTTGAATTACTCTACAGAATCATAATGAGTCGATTATTCCGAAGTAACTCTTCAGTCAACTCTAAATCTATAACTTTAACTCCCATACCCGATACAGTCATAAACGAAGAAGAACATGAATTTCAAGATTTAAAAATCAATTTAAGTTGGAATATTCCAAAAGTCCCTATTAAAGAAATCTATAAAACCAGTTTTTTAAAGTCATCTTTTAATATTGATTTACATGTCAAAACTGTTGAACAAGTTTATGCATTAACAAAAACACAAGAAACCTATCACTTATTGACTAAAGAATCAATTAAAAAATATTTATCTACTGGATATAATTTTATTCATATAGGCTTAATTCAAGCAGCAGTAAAACCGTTAACTACTCAAGGACTTAATTTTTCTGTTTTATTATGTTTAAGAGATGCTAGATTTATTAATTACCATGCTAGTCTAATGGGAATGATGGAATTTGGTCTTCATAAAGGACCAGTCCATTTTAATCGTTTTCCTGATTTCACACTAAGTTTACGTGATCCTCACATATTAAAAGCTTTAACATTAAATATAGGATGAATTACACTAACAGTCCCTATAGTTTGGGGGCTTGTGTCACTTTGGTCCCTGACTTTTCAATTGTGACACATTTGATCCTGAATTTTGAATCTTGTTCCAAATAAGGATAATTGAAGATATTATTAGATTTTTCAAGGGTAAAATCGTCAATTTGATAAAATATAAACTAATTTGACAAAAATAAATGTCAAACAAATATTTTTTAATTTTTAAATTTTTTTTCTATCCACTAAAAATAAAATTATGTAAAATTGATAAATCTTGTAGACATTTATTTATTTATTTTACCAAATTAATTTTTGTTATGTGTTTGGATGATGATCATGCAAAATTAATTTTTTAAAATTAATCATGTAATTTTTATTAATTTTTTTTATCAATTTTACATAATTTTATCATTGGTGGATAAAAATAATTTTTAAAAAATAAAAAATATTTTTTTGACATTTATTTTTATCAAATTAGTTTATATTTTATTAAATTGACGATTTTACCATTGAAATTAAACAATGGTATCTTCAATTCTCCTTATTTGGAACAAGATTCAAAGTTCAGAGTCAAATGTGTCACAATTGAAAAGTCAGGGACCAAAGTGACACAAGTCCCA